TGTGTGTGACAGAATGGAGCAAGTACGAGATTTATTTTTAATCAAGCAGCAATAATTTGTGTTCCTACAAAGACTTGACAAATCCCGCAGCAATAATCCCCTTTAAATTTGCTATAGCCCATAAACTACAGATTTTAAACAATCGAGCAGATTCATTTGCTGAGGAGTGCATAAATTCAAATTTGATACCCGTTGAGGACCGACTAAATGCGAGGGCCGATTTCCCAAACGTAGAGGATGACCGAGACTCAATCGGTTGGACAGAATATTACGCAATCGATCTGGAATAAAAAATTGAGATAAAAAATATTGGCCTCATACCACCATCATACGAGAGATATGAGATGTGTGTGTGGGAAAGATCATCTCAGTCGGATGATACATCTCTATAAACCAAGAATATATACACAAATATTAGAGCTACTTTTACTTAAAGATAACATAAGACTAATAAAGTAAATAATAAATATACACAATAACATAATTTGAGCAAGAGAAAAAAAAATTAATAATATTGCATACTTATTAACGATCGACTCTTTTTATTATAATAGACATATACTACAACATGTACAAGGCATATCGAGTGTAACAAAGAAAGTGGTCTTGGAGAATTCTGTAGTTGGAGCGAATTGATAGCATGCATTGATGACAACAAAATTAAATACGACGATCGTAACACAAATTCTCATATTATCTATACTTATATAAAAAGTCATCTTATTTATTAGAAATAGTAGGCAGAAAAGTCAAAGATAACTAATGTTTGTCGAAAATAGAATGACATTAATTATAAATTTGTTTTGGTATTTATAGACTTTACATTAAGATTTGTTATAGGATAAAAATCAGAACTGATTTTTTTACCTTTGCTGGAAATGTCAAAGGCAATGATAGATTTGTTTTATCCCATAAAATCGGTTTTATATGTTAAACCTATAAATAAAGATTTAATCGATCAAAATTAAATCTTTATTTTACGTCACCCATAAATCACAAGGACGAAATGAAATTCCAGTAGAATGTTAGTGTTACATGATATGATATTGGCCAATTAGGGGAAGGGAAGTCAATTGAAAAGAACATGGAAGATTAATTTCTCTCCCAATGTCTGCACAATGAAAGCCACCAACTTTTCCAGCCTACAGCATTAAACACACAAATGCAAAATAAAATACAAATAAACAACCATGCAATAAAATCATAAGTATACTCAAAGTGAGAACAAATAAACAACCTTTTCATTTCAAAGATACATACATGTCAATAGTGCAATAGAGTATAGAGATATACACAGAGAGGAGCAATCAATCACAATGCAACAAGTTGAGATACATACTAAAGCAAACGGGATCGGGTTTGTATCGGGTCAAATAATGCTAACTCCAATAATAGGTAGGGAAAATTAGAAAACAAAAATTGACAATACAGAATCAAAAGATTCCAAAAATAAGTTATAGAAATATACAAACAAAATTAAAAAAAAAAAAAAATCAAGATAACACATTTGTATAGAAAGATTGAATGCATAATTCCCAAATTTAAGCATGATTATTATTGGCTTAAATAATCAGAAATTCTATGGTGCCAATATGGTTCTTTAATAGTGACTCAATTATTCCAAAAAGATTGAGATACAGAAATCTCCAAAAATATATGGTCAAATGCGTATATCAAACTCTGTCGAATACTATCTTATTGTACAATTTTCCTGCGTATTATAAAATTGTTATTGAATATTGCATCTTATAATATAATATTCCCCAAATAAATATATCACGTGCCTCGCACGGGTCACGTGCTATATATATCTCGTACATTTTTCAGTATTCATGTATATAATTATAAGTTTGAATAAATAGCCTTAAAATTGTGCACCCCGTGCATCACACGGGCTCTGTACTAGTTATATATAAAAGAGACAATAAGAAAAATGAGAAATTAAGGCACGCCAACGATTTGAATAACAATACCTGATTTTGACAAAAATGATTCATGAGGTACCGAAAATCAGTAACCATTGACGAACAAAATAAGATAATTGAGGGGTTGATAAATAAATTAATGATATAGCTAGCATATATCCTGTGGCTAATTCTAGATTATTTTAACAAAACGTAGCATGAACGGAGGGAATCCAATACGTTAATTAATCAGAAAAATGATATTCGGTGGGGCAGGGGGCCCACCATAATACTCTCAAGCCTATATAAATTGATGCGCCTCAGCTTGCATTTCCACACAAAAACAGATTCTAATCAAGCTACTAATTTGAGTTTTTGTTTTTATTCAAAGAAAGGATCTTAAAAATATGGGTGGAGAAAGAGGTAGTGCCTTGGCCGCGGCTTTGGTGATGCTGGTGGCCGTGGCCGCGCTTGCTGAAGCCAAGGAGTATAACGTGACTTGGTCGCTACCCGCTATTCCACCCCTCTTGGATGTGACAAAGGATGACACAGTTAGTAAGTCGAGTTGAATTACAATTTAAGGATATGTATTATATGATGCATTGAATAGAATTTCTTCTTCAATTCATTAATTATTTATTTACATATCAACTATACAAACATAATAATAAATTTTCTCCTCTTCTTCCTTGATTACCTTTTGTCTAATTAGTAAATTGACTGTTGATTCACTTATCTACAAAATTTATTGCTCTGGCAGATTTCGTGTTCGACGCAACCGACCTCGATTTGGTAAAAGTTCCTGATAAGAGCAGTTTTGATGCATGCAACGGAACAGGGGCACAGGTTTTACAGTCCAAAACTTCGGCGGCCCCAACTGTACCTGTGCGCCTAAATCAAGGCCTAAATACTGGGCATAACTACTTCATCTGCGATATTGCAAACATTTGCAGTGAAGGAAACACGATGATTACTATCAATGTCAACTGATGTGCTGTTGCTGTTTCCAAGACAAATATTATTATCAATGCCAACTGATCATGTGTTGTTGTTCCAATAAATCATTCATCAGTAAAATGATGATATGAGTAATGCAACAAAGCATCTGCCTATTTATAGACCTTTTCACGTACGATACTGTTTCTTAAGGATGTTAGACCTGCTTTTATTCTAATATATAAAAAACTAATAGTCATGTTTAAATATATATTCATAATTTCACATAAAAATGTGTTTAAAAAAGGATATAAGTATGTATGAAATTTTATAGTATAAAGGTACATAAGGGTGGATCTAACTCATAATATGAGTGGGGGCCTACTTGTTTCTAAGAAATAAATATATCACATCATAACAAAGTATAAATACAAAAATACACATGCATATAAATTCTTACGAGTTTTCATAGTTTGGTATGATTCTACAATAAGGTCTTTACATTTTTTTTCGGCCTAACAATATTATAATTCACCTTAATTATATTTGGACTAAAAGTAGCCAATTTTGAAATATTTTCACATACTCTTTTTTGTGAAGACTATTTATAAAAATATTTCTCCATAATTTGATATAAAAATAAATAATTAATATGTATAAAATGTTTTATCTAATATATCAACTTTTCAGAGGCCTACAAAGTTATCAATCACACATATATTTAAATATGTTAACAGTCAGAAACAACATTCAATTAACTACACGTTTAAATTTTAAATTTTTATATCAAATCTAATAAAAAAAAAGTTTATATTTACTTTCACCAAAATTAACAAGAAGGTTGATTTTTTTCTCATTATCTCTTTTTTTCCCTTCTTTGTGTTCTCATTGTTTTTTACTTATTTTTTTATTTTATTAATGGAGTATTAAATTGTTTTTTGTATTTTTTTATTTTATTAATGAAGTATTAAATTATTTTTTGAGTAGGGTATAAAAGATAACATTTTTTTTCAATGTGGGCTCCTTCTTTAGCTACGTCCCTACATAGAGCCTTTAAACTAGGTTAATTTCAGTGGAAACTCATTGCATATAATATAAAATAAAAAATATGAATTTTACTGCCCATTATATATACCTAATATATTTGATAACATTAACTAAATCAATTATTATTTTTTAGAGTACCTATATAAAAACTGTAGACAAAATTAATGGCTAAAAATATTGTTTCCTTTAGCAAAGCATTCTCATTTATTTTGCCCATACATTTTATATTGTTCTTAATTTTAGTTTCTATATTGTGCACACATTTAGCTGACCTTTAGGTCGGTAATTTTAGGATGACATGCATAAATGTTATTTTAGGATAACATGCATAAATAAGAAAAAAAATGTATAGATGCCAGTTATTATTTTTACCTTCACTATCCTAACTAAAGGAATTAGAAATTATAACTATTATTTTAGATAAATAATTACACAGAGAAGAATATTAATTTATATCTATATATATTGAACAAGGTTGATGGAATAATCTAAAATAGTAACTTTGATTTTATAATTAAATAGGTTGACTTATTGTTAAAAGAAATTTATTAAAAATTAATAATATTTATAAAAAATGGAAATCAGATTATACACACCTGTTGTAAATCGTGCAACTTAGTTAGTAGCATGAGTTTCTATATAACTAAAGTTGTATCAATTTATTATTTTTTTTATAATAATTGCAATAAAAAATCAGATTCTTCATAATAATTACGAATCGCTACTATTTCTTTTTAAATTCTGTAACTAACCATAAAATCTATCTTGAAAAATAATTTAATAAATATGTATTGTTTTAAAAAAATATATTTGCATATGCATGATAAAATTACAAATATAGTTACTAAATATAAATTAAAAAAATTATGGAAGTTTTACTATGATATTTATCAAAAAGTTACAATAAAATATTATTATTAACATTAATAACAAATCACGGTGATTTCTTATTCGTTTGGAAACCAAGCATATACCAAAGTTTTTTTATTATATATGCAAAAATTATTTTAATCAAGATGATTAGTTTAAAATCCATTGATTTATTAATAACTTAACCAATTTAGTTTTTCAAAAAATTGTAAGAGTAATTTCCCACAATATAATAATAATAATAATAATAATAATTAACTATTTATCTTTAATGACATATTAATCTTTATCCTTAATAAAAATCCTATTTTGTTGGTAATCTAGCCATATGTAGACTGAAATATGCATGCGTGAAAACATTGCAAAATATCAGTACAAAATAATAGAAATCAATTGCAAAAGTTGTACTGATATAACTACCACAATTGTACAATATATTTGATATCTCAAACATTAACAACAAATCCCTCAAATATTCTATGAATTGGTAATTAGCCATATACCAAAAATCATCTATTCAAGGAGTTCAAAATTACCTTTGATTTTATCAATAATTGCACCGAACTAGTTTTTAAAAAATTCATATTGTGATTCACAATATCATAATCAATCTCATATAAATTAATAGATTAGAGAGATAATTTCAAAAATTTATAATATACATTTTATAAATTATAAGAAAAATAAAATAATATTGATGTAATTAAAAATTAATATTTTTTTATAAATTAAGAATAGTAAATATTACAGTCTCATTTAATTAAGTGTAGGTTATAATATTTGCCACATTTTCCAATTTTAGCATAAATTATTTAGAAACCAAAATAATATATTATAATATGATACGAGTAAAGGAAGATAGATAAAGAAATATTTTGTGCGTATTAATTATTGATAATATTTAAATATGTTAAATTTTCAGTATCCTTCATTATGAACAGGAACCCTAAAATGACAACTATATTATAATGAGTGAAATAAACATATAACTCATATATTAAATTATTATATATCAGAAAATAAAAGAAAAAAATAATATCAGTATTCAGAACTTTTTTTATACTAATCAATATTCCTTCATTGCTTTAATACGTGTAATTTATAATCTTTTTCCCTGCATCGAACGGGCTACCTACTAGTTTATAGATATGTTTATATTGAATTAATTATTTTCATGCCCTTTTTTTATTTAAATTTATAAACTATATGTTATATTTTGCATTAATCAAGTGTAATAGTATTTCTTTAGTTATTCTATCATATAATTATTGCTACTAAACTTAAGTATTATATTCACATTTAAGGGTTTGAAGTTATATACTTATAAAATATTTAAAGTAAAATGTTTTCTTCAAATTATTTATTTTAAAATAAATATTATATTTTTATATTTATCTCATTAAGCAATTTCTTAGGTGGCTAATTGGTTTTAGTGATACATGATGTGTAATGAGTCTGGAACCGGGCTTTGTCACAATCCCCACATGCGCTCACCAGCTTGTTGCTCCTATGATCTGCAAAGAACTGAGAGAAATCCCGACATGAACACTCCGACGCTAAAGTTAGGATTTTTCTTGAGAAAGTATATGTAAAGTTGTCTTGTCAATGCATGTATATTGCGTGTGGTGTTAAGTAACCTAGTTTACCCTTAAATACCTAAGGTAACTTGGCCTCCAAGAGAATTCTGGTTAGGAAGGAGATCATCCCCAATCTACTTTCCTAAATCATCACGTCTCTAAGATCTTTTAGTCTTTTGGATAATTAAGACACACTTCCTACTTCTGAAGGAGTCATTTTTTCCTCGTATAACACGACCCTTTAATCCCGAAGTCGCAACCACGATCTTACCACTTTCCTGTCATGATCCACACTCGGGTCGCAACAACGACCTCCGCATGTTCCCAATGGTCCATACCCAGGTCTCAACCATGAATTGTGGACTACAAGGTCTCACCGAGTATCCGAGCTCCTTAGGTTCTTCGACCTACAAGCTACCCGATCCGACCTATTGCTTAACGAGCTCTTTGGGCGAGCTCTTTACATATGCGTATTTGAGATCAAGTCGAAATATAGTGAACCAATCCAGACTGAGCTAACAACTCTTGGTCAGTTCTTCGAGTTGTTACAGGTGCTATATTATCTAGCCTCCCCCCATTCTTGGACGAGCTATTTAGACTTGGCACAAGAATGCCTTACCACGCCCAGTCAGCATGCCAGGCTACCGTAATTTATGCGGTCTTGGTAACTGCGCCTTGTTAGGAAACGTCCCTTCAAACCTCAGGCGCTCCTTTAATCTTGTTCGTATAACCTGTTTCAAATTCTATGCTCATGATCAACTAGTCTTTTATATTCGCCAAGCCTCAATTCTGACCGTTTAAACATCTTAAATCGAACGACTTCCCTTCGACCTCAACATTTGGACTACCTTTAAAAGCTTTTCTTTGGCAAAATACCTATATTGATAGGCTCTGGTACTATGGTTATCTTCCACATCTCCAACCACCATTAAATCCCCATCCAATGGCTTCGTACATGGTTACGTACCTTTGAGCCCTCTGCAAATTTTTTTGTAATTTGTCTTCTGCAGTCTCTATCCCCACTCTGATGTTCCTTCAATTTTTTTTACAGTAATCGCCTTTTACAAAACAACCAACCATGCCAATTTCGGTCATTCTAGATCGGGATCATCCTCACAACCTCAAGACATTCCCCTGGCGCTGCCTCTTTCTCGTTGCCAAAAAGATCAAGTGACAGTGGTCAAAGGAAAAATGGTCGAAGTTCTATCTTCTTTAGTGATGGTGGTTAAACCAAACTCTATTACTTCTTACTCAAACGACCACATTTTTACGCTTCTACACGAGATCGAGTTCCTCCTTGGTTGGGATTTGAAGATTGATGGGACCAGTGAGGATCTCGTTAAGTACAAGTTACAAAATAAACAACAACAATAAACATATGCGCAGAGGATACTAAAAGTTTAAAGTTGAACACTTACGGCTTAAAAATTGCAGACTCTGAGATGTTATAGATTTATGTTGATGGAGATCTGTAGATTTTCCATTCACCAGAAATTACCTAGTTCAGACGTCTCGGGATTACAGGGAACTTCATGCCGGTGGATGGGTCTTGTGGTGGTGCAGGTCACAGTGGGCGGGATGCCTGGTCGTCGGCAGGAGCTCGCGAGAAGATCGCGGGTCGTTGGTTGACGGAAGAGAGTTGTACGCGATGGTCATCGGGACTGCGTCTCAGCTGATTGCGGTTGAGGATGGTGGGTGTGTGGTGGTTGCCGGAAGGCTCTTCAACCTCGAGGTTTTCTACCGTATGACCTTACACCTCTCCGGTTGTCTCGATGGAGCAACAAATCTCGGAGAATAAACTTGCTCGGGTACTAGGGTCAACTGGCGTGTATATGAGATGATGCACAATCCCAAAAGCTTAATGATGTATTTATAGGGCTACAATAATATATTTGTAGTATATTAATTTTTTTTTCTTATATCTACTTTCTATGTCATATAAAATATTTTATAATATATTTAATATATGTGAATCTCATAGCTATTAAGTATAATGGATATTTACAAAATATTTATGAATACTTTAAATATTTAAATATTTAATTAATTATGTTTTTATATATAATATATCATATATTTTAAAAATATTAATATAGTAAATTCGGGTCCAACCGGTT